ACTCCTATTCTTTTTGCGGATACAGACTAACACGGCTGCTACTCTAAAATCTTAAAGCAAACTCAGTGAAACCACCAAGTTCCAATTGGTTCCATGTTGGAGCAATGAGAACCTCAAATCTCACCTGCTTTCTCTGCAGAACCATAAATGGCAACATACAGGGGAGAGGGCTGATGTGGTCCATCTGGGATGTGCAACTGTGTTTGGAAGACTGTGTCATTTGGTTTCAACTTCTGTTTTTCAAGTGATATTAGTCATGCAGTGGACATACCCTGGCTATCTGTGCATTTTCTGAGTAACATTTGGCTAGTCTGTGTAGGCGCACAGGATGCAGGTCGGGGTGGGACAGGGGAGGAGACCAGGGTATAATGAAGAGGCATTAGTCCAATATGTATGTCTCTTTCAGAGGTCTGAGAAGTGCCATTTAGAAAATGTTTGCTAAAAGCATGGCAGGGGGAGAAAATCAGCTGTAATTTTGCACTGATTAGAGATGCGAGGTGGTTAAGAGGCATTTCCCATTTTTACATTTTCCCTGGATCTGTGTTCTCAAATGAATGTGTGTAATTTGCAATGAGACGCTGTGCCCAATTTGTGTAAATGCCAGAGCAGTTTCAGCATTAGAGTCACTGCAACCGCACTAGAGATGCATCTAGATACAAAGAACCAAACTGAGAGCTGTCATCCACCCTGTCCAGCCCCTTTAAGGGAAGTCAGGGGTGCAGGTTAACACCAAACTTGGCCTCCAGGCAATAAGGAACATAGAATGTGACTTATCAAATAAAAACCTGCAGACCACCTTCCCCACGTATCTCAGCTTCTGGAGGTCTCCTGGAACTTTATCTCCCTGTGCGTACAAGCGTAAATGTGACACCAACATCTCATTTTATTGAGATCTTTCTCTCATTCATCCCTGACCTTTTTCTATTATGTTAGCAAAACCTGCAGGGGGACGTTGCAAAGGCTAACAAGACCTTGAAACATCTTCCGTAAGATACAGCAGGAGAATTTCGCTCCCTATCCGGAGAGTTACAAACAGGATGAGACAATAACATGTGAGAAGCAAATTGCTAATAAAGGGAGAATCTAAAAATGTATACAGCTCACCCAAGGGTCTAGGCTTATTCTGAGTCGTGAAACTGCCCTAGCTCTCGGACAGCTGGCTTGACAACTAGCTAAAATCAAACTCTAGGCAGATAGCGATTGACACTACGGCAGCAAAATCTGATGATCTTTAGGATAATGGTCTCCGTGTTCTTGTCACGAATTGATGTCCATGAAAGACCCACCAGTCCTGCTCCCCTTCAATTTGATGGGAGCAGGATTGGGGACTATGGTGGGGGGGAGGGTGTACTCCAATCCATGCTGAACAAGGAAAGGCTTAAACCCCATTCATTGCCCTGGAAACAAAAGCGCAGCCTGTAGGGACTGCATCAGGCTAGGAGTGAGGAGCTATAGCCCACTAGGCAGATGGACAGTGTTGCTGACTGCTGTGCCTTGTGAACTAGGAATCGTGAAAAGCCGGAAGTTTCTTACGAGGTGGAATGCTTCTTGGAAGGAGGAGAGGACTGGAGGCTGGGGAAAGGCCCTGGCCTTCTTTCTCACTCCCTCGGCAAGGAGAGGACTGGGGCTGTGGGGACATCCTGCCAATAAGGGAGGATTTGTTTTCTTTATTTGGTGGTTAGGTCACTTGGGCACACAAGACTGTGTGGAATTAATTGCTGAACCAGGAGGAAGCCAGGTTTGTGGGGGCGGTGGGGGGAGCTTCTTGGTTTGTGGTGTGTGTTAGGCCTGTCTACTCTAGGAAATTAGGTCTGTATAGCTACGTTGCTGTGGAGTGTTAAAAATCCACACCCCTGAACGACGCAGTTCAACCAATGTAAGCCCTGGTGTAGACAGCACTAGGTTGACAGGAGAATTCTCCCATTGATCTAGGTACCACCTCTTACGGAGGTGGATTACCTACTCTGACAGGAGATGCCATCCCGTCGGTGTAGGTAGTGTCTTCACTGAAGTGCTACAGCAACGCAGCTGCAGTGTTTTAAGTGTAGACAAGCCCTTAGTCTGCTTAGACCAGCGATCCCAATAGATTGGGCAGTGACTCCTGTTACTGTCCCAGAAAGGAGATAAATGGGTGTTAGCCATCCATATTTGGACAGAAAAAGGCAGGCATCCGCCAGCATCTGAAACCTGTAAGTTGTCAGTTGTAAATTGACTGAGGGGCCTGGAAAATGCAACACAGCACAAACACTGGCTAGTCTACCTTAGTGAGCATTTCAGATGCAATGAGCAACCAGCGTGGGTCTGAAATAGGCATCGTTCTCCATCGTAGTGTTAGTCTGGGCAAGTGTCTGCGAACAGTAATTATTGGAGAAGCAGCTGGGGCAATACTGAGACTATGAAAGCAGCAGGTTGAGAAAATATCTTAGTACATTTCATTGGTATTGGAGAATGAAAAATGGAACTTTGAGAATGTTAATGGATGCTAAAGACGACCATAATTGCAAAGTACATACTGACGAGAAACGGAGGTTCTTTTGACCAAGATATAGTTGCCTAGCCACAAATCTCCTTTTTTAAAATATACTTATTCCACTCTGTCTCAGATGTGGACTCTCAGGCTATAATTTTAACTGATTGCTTTAACCTGGTTCTTAACCTCCTAGAAGTGCTGCAAACCACTTTGGTCACCCTTGAGATGGAATTTCTAAGAAAAGGGCCTGTAATTATTCTCAGAAGAATCATTATTAAAATTATCAAAAGATCATGATCTTATTGCTAGCTGGAGACTTTTTTTTCCTCCGTCTCAAGACCAGATTTCTTTCCCGCTTACCTGAACCAAACACGTAAGTGGCACATCAGAACATACTGCGTGCAGTATCTCGTAGTTTGCATCCTGCAGCTAGTACGTTGGTAACGGACTGCAATCTCGGAATGAATTTCTGAATCAGATTACCGCATTACTGCATCTTTAAGCTGAGATTTTTAAAGACTGTAGTCTTCTCTGCTTTCCATGGACACAGTATAAATATTTACTGTAAACAGACTAAAGTCCCTGTAGGAATGCTTTAAGATCTGGGTTTGCTCTGGTGTACTTTGCCAAACTTCCCATCCCTATTTTATTGTGCTGCGCTATGAAGTGGATTGTTTGCTAGACCCGTGTCCTCCAAGTGTTTCAATGGTTCTGTTGGTAATAGCTGGTAAACCACGTGGTGCACATTTGAGATGGAAAGTGCTATATTCTGGTAAAATAAGATTCATGTTTCTTGGCTTGTCCTCATTGTGAGGGTTCTCCTGAATTCTTCCACAGAGACCACGAGTTTTCTCCCTTTTTCTAACAAATAATGAAACAGCGGTTACTGGAAAATAGTGTGTAGATTGAAGAATTCGTTCCCTCAGTATTTTTTGAGCTTCCTGCTCTGATTTCCTCATGTCACTTTTTGGGCTCTTTGCCCCCAATTTAACCTGGGTAGAACAAGAGGAAATTTCAAGTTTTTTCCAAAGAAAATAAACAAGCTGGACTCTTATTTAGATCAACGTGATCCTAGAGGACTAAATGTGCCCTTATGGAGCAACGCCCAAAAAGCTGTCCTTATTGGATGTACTTGATGTTTTCTGCACTGAACTAAAAACTAGAACAAGGGCCAGAGTCTGATCTCCCCGGGCCCAGTTTACATTGGTGTCACTCTATTGACTTCCGTGAATTCACACCCAATGAACACTGGTGTAAGTGAGACCAGATTCAGGCCCATTAACTTTTCTTCACAAAATAAAATCAAGGGACCAAATTCTGCTCTTGGTTGTACAGGTGTAAATCTGGAGGAACTCCACTGAAATAATGGCCCAATACAAATCTGGATTTATACAGAGGTAACTGCAATGGACTCTGACCTGAGATCTTTGATGTTCATATATGCTGGTCCAGTTTTTTGTTTCTCTCTCTCACTCACAGTGAAATTTCCACATTCTGCAAAAGGTCCATTGTAATGTAGAACCAAGCTGGTGAGAAATAGGAGCAGAAAGCGGGGAAGCTACGTAGTCTCAAACCAAAAGACTCTTCAAACACAATCCCCCATATGCAAAGTGAGAATAATTCTTTTTTTGCTTTGCACTGGTTTTGTAACAAGCAGATCAACAATCAGGGAATCATCTATTTTACTATCTCAATCTTCCCCCGCTCAGTGTTTGGAATGAAATAATCCAGTCCTGAGATTCATAATACATCTTCTAGCTTGCATTCAGTTGACTTGTTAGGCATGGATGGTTTATTAGCAGATTTTTTTTCCTATAATAAAAATTTTATAGATCAATGTCTCTGTGTGACTCCAAGACGTATATCAGTCATCTTTTAATGTCAGCATTCTTCCCTTCTGCCCTCAGAAGCACATTAATAATATCCGAAATTCCTAACCAGGAAACTATTTTTCAATAGATCTCATTAATGTAGTCTCTAAAGGGTTCTCTATTCCCCCTTTGATGTTTGAACATAACACTGGTTAATATCAATGGGAGTTATGCACGTGTTTTGTCCACTGGATAGACCCCTGGGGCATGTCTCTCTTTGTCAGCTGGGTAGAGCATTGAGCACAGAGGGAGTTTAGCTTCAATAGGCCAGCAAGATCATGCCCATAACATTCTGTCTAAACGAGCAACTGAATTAAAGGGTTGTTGGTGGTTGTTTTTCTTCTTGTTCTTCCACATCTTTATTCATCCTGGCCAGGTGTGTCTTACGAACAAATAGATGTGATTTAAATAACATAATTGATATATCTCTTTGAACATAATGCAAACTCCAGCAGCAATCAGGCTGATTGTAAGCAATGCTGTGTATCTGGACTTTGCAGAGAAAGCATTTGATGGGGGTCGGCTGGAAGTACTCGTTTGTTATTTCACAGAGATTTGGATGTGGCTCAGATGATCATGGGCCAAACGGTGCTCTCAGTTACACTGGTGTAAATCTGGAGTAACTCCTTTGACTCCAGATTTACATGGATATAACAGAGACCAGAACTTGGCCTTGTATAAGGAAGCCAAAGCTTCAGTAATGACTGATGGATCCATGTCCCAAGCCTTTCCCATACATGTTGAATAGAGGGACATGATGGAAGTTCACTTTTCCCCTTTATTATCTGATGTAGCCTTTGAACTGCTAGCTGCAACAATTAGACAAAACCCAAAATATCTTTGGCATTAAAACTGGACGAAAGGAACATAAAGAGGCATTCTGTGCTGCTGACGCATTACCATTCACTTCAAATCCCCAAGATAAATACCAGAAATGCTTTGAATAATAGATCCTTTTGGAACCCGTCCAGCGTACAAAATTAACTGGACCAAGTCACAGCTCTTACTACATGTTCAAGGGCTGGGGTAGCTATCAAGGTTCTATCTAGAACTTCATAAGGTGGTTTCAGTTTGTCACCAAGCATTTTCATTAAAATGGACACTGTACTAGCTATTACCAGTTGCTAATGAGACTCCTGGCTGAGTGCATATAAGCACAGAAAGCATTTCACCCATTCCACTCAATTACACTGACAGCTCCAGTTTTTACCGTCCAAACCAGCTCAAACTGCTAATTGCTCAGCTCCTAGGGGGAATGGGCAGGCTTGTGTTTAAACTCTCTCATTTTATGCACTCCCAAGGTGCCTGTTTTGACTAGCAGTCTACTGGGTAGGGCACTGGACTTGGAAATCAAGTATCACAGGTTCAGCCACTACTCTGCTGAGTGACCACAAGCAAGTCCCTGCACCTCTCTGTGCCTATTTTACAAATGGGGATAAAGACATTGATCTTCTTTGTGAATAAAAGGTGCCATTGGGCTTGATCCATAGCCCATTAAAGTCAATCGAATAATTCCTATCGACTTCTTGGGCTTTTGAATGTGTCTCTATAAGAGCTATGTGGTGGCATTATCCAGAATTAAAAAGATGGAGTCGGGGGGGCGGGGAGGGGCGTATACAATCAGGATACAGGAAATCAAGGGATCAATGGATTATTTAGTCAGAGCAAATTGTTTCAAGTTATTTGTCATGCGAAGGCAAGACTGTAACCTTGAAAGTGGTCATCATTTTTACATCAGACCCATGATGAAAACTTGGGCCTTATAATTCACTGACACCCTATGTGCCATTCGATTGTCCTTTTGGTGCTTGGAGGTGCTGGAAGGATCCTCTGTATGCAGTGTGAAAAATTCGGCTTTTGCTTTCACCCCATGCAACTCTATTGGCATCAGTAGGTTTGCAAGCAGTGTATGTGTACAACGTGGTTCCACAGGTCGATATCAACTACAGCTCAAACTATAAGACGTTTGAGGTAGTTCAGTAAAGCTATAAATATTAATGTCTAGCCCAGCAATTGGGATAATAATGGATGTATAAATCCAACAGTTAATTGATTGATTATAAATGATAATCCGGTAGAAGTTTACCTTCAGAATGTAGTGGATTTCCAACTAAAGGCAATATCTGAAGTATGAAATTCTAGTGTGTTGGAGGAAGGTGGGTAGAACCTGTGCCTAGTTTTGTTTTGTGGAAATCAGGTTTTAATTTTGCAAAATCAAACCCAAGCCATGGTGATTTTTTGCCCATTCCCCCTTTGTCTGACCCCCTCCTAATGTGGGGGTGGGGGGAGGATTCAGATAAATGGCTTTGCTTTAGACCTCTCCCCGGTTGGAGATTCATTAAGGACTAGATTGTGATACCCTTATTGACATCCAGTAGCACTTTGCTGCACAAGTAACCCCACTGATTTCAAAAAGTTGACACATGTTATAAGCTAGTATTCAGTGCAAGTAAGGGTACCCCTCTGCCCTGAGGGATAGGCACATTGCTACGTGGTTTATGGTATTGTGGAAAGAACAAATCTAATATCAGATACAGCTGTACTCTATGGGCCTCATCCAAAGCCCATTGAAGTTAATAGAAAGGTTCCTGTTGACGCTAACAGAATTTGGATCAAAGCCCTAAAATCTGCCCTCCTGTCTTAAGCCACCATGGTATAAGTACTCTATTAAAATGGTAAGGCAGGTGCACACTTGACATTCTGTTAATGGACCAAAGTGGAAATCACTGGTGACTCCTCCAATATCACAGTGAGTGCACAAATATGTGACTCAGTCATAAAGTTCAAGGCAGGAATGAACCAGGTCATCTAGTCTGAGCTCTTGTATATCACAGGCCTCTGTACACCACCCCGTCACCTGCACACCAACTCCAACAGCCAAAATTAGACCCAAGTGCCACAGACACAAGAGTCCACAAGTGGTATGCAGACGTCTGACCCTCTGCCCTTTTTATTGGCTCTAACATAAGCCCTATATGTTCCTTTTTTACTTAGAATTAAACCTCGGAAGACTGGGGCAAACATCTGTTAAGTATCCAGAATGTCTGAGGCTGACTTCAGAGTAGGGATTTTACCCAATACCCTTGTCCTGCTAGTGTATTCATGATGCTATGAAAATCATGGTAACAGAGTTTTCAAATGGCCAGAGAGTCCTGTCACTAATCAGCGCAGACCTGGGCTCTGCTGGACTAAGCCCCCGTGCCATGCGCAGTGGGGTCTTTGCTTTTTCAGCTCATAATCAGCTGCTTTGCTGAATGGTGATTGTCATTTCTGCTATGGGGAAAAATGCGACATCTTAGCTTTGTGACTGTTAGGTTTGGAAGACCCTTTTTTAAAAAACAACTTTCTCTGCTTTTTTCTTTATGATAACTTTTAAAATGTCGTCTCCGTGTTAGAGTGGTGACTGTGAGCAGATACCATGCGCAGCAGTGCCTGTCCACGCAGTAGATTTCTTTAAATGTATGGCCTCCCGCTTCCTTTACACAGCTGTGCTTAAGACATTTCTGTAAGTGGAGTTGCATGCATGTACTCTTGGGTATCATCAATCCATCCCTGAGGTGCACAGCAGGGCATGTGTACCCATGCTGTCAATTTCATTATTTTAGTCTTGTATTACACGCAAGAAATGTCATTCAGAAATGACCCCAACTCGCAGGCCTGCAGTGCTGCCATATAACTTCCAGGTTGACAAGGAGGAGGAGAAATTAAAGCATCACAAGGGTTTCATGCTTGGCTGTTTGCTTTGTCTGGGTTTCACTCCATGGCTGATGCTTGCTGTAGTTGCTCAGAATAACTGATTACAACTCACTGTACAGTTGTCATTTTTCTTTTAGAGCAAAAGCGAGCGTGTGAAGGCTTGGATAAGGGCACACCTACCTTCCTGGTGCAAAGAAAGGGATTCCTGGTCTATCTACATCTTTGCTCCTCACTCTAAGTAAGGCAACTTCCATAATAATGTGATAGCTATGGGTAGAATTGAATGCAAGTGTTACAGTGGATCACTCTGCCCCAGTACCGTGAAGATCAGAGCCTTCATTGTATGCCAGCCTGCCTATCTCCCAGTCGGTGCATCGATGAGGGTAAAGCCCACGGCCCTCTCTAAGTTTTGGAGACAGATTCTTTCCCCTGCTTCACTCCTTATGTACCACTCCATTGACGTATAGTAGCCATACGGGTTGCTGCAACTGGCTGGGGAGCATTCCCCTGGTGCAGATAAATTGTAGGATTGCTGTAAACCCTAGTGTAAGGATGAGCTGTGGGCAGATCATGGGCACATGGGTGTGTGGGCTCTTAGCTTATAGTATCTTTGGGATCAGGGGCTGCACTGTAGCTCATAGCCAGCCAAGGGAGCAGCCCCTCACTGCTTTAACTTACACCAGGACCAGGTTCAGCTCCCAGAACAGCCCACAATACGGAGGGTGAAAAGGTGGTTTAAAGCCATCTTTGCCCTCACCCATGCCCTGTGCCTCCTGGAGGTGCGGCACGGATTCTGAGCCCCTGTTTATTCACCCAGGGTACCTGAGGAACTCTGCTTCCTCCCTTAGGATAGGTGGTCCTTTGGTCCTAAGGACTTGTGGACACCAGCTGTCACCCCCATATCAATAGACAGGTCCCAGACATTGCTTCACGTACACACGCTGTTAATTTAAGAAAGAGTGCAGGACCCGATGAGAGCCTTTGCCCTGGTGGAGGTGAGTACCAGGGGAAGCCATGCTGCTCCAGGCTGGGAAAGCTATGCCCTAAAGGTCAAGGGGTCAGAATAGCTGCTGGAGGTGGCAGCAACCAGTTGTTTGCCCAATAGTCTGTGGTGGTGGTCAGAGATGGTGTGTACCTTACAGTCCCCTTCACACAGATTCTCATTGAACTACTCTCACCCATTCTACCAATGTCTGGGTGACTTCACAAGGAGCTGCAAAGAGGTGTGTGTTCAGTTAAACTGGGAGCCACTTTAACTGATCCCCTTCTTCCAGCTCTTCAGTGTGTAGTGAGGGGTGTGGGTGTAAGTAGCTCCAGGGGAGTCTAACTTAGTGTAAAGGGATTGAAGCTAGTGTCAGGGGATCTAAATTGCACATCATCCTTAAATCTAGCCCTGTGAGCCTATGGAAGTCTGTAAGAGGCTGGCAATGCTTGCCTGGAACACCTCACCCTCTTAGCAGGTGTTGAACCTGCTGGCAGAGTTAAGTTGGTCCTACTTGACTCACTGGGGCAGGCAACTGGTTACTCCATCCTGATGGAGTACTGGTTACTCTGTTCCATGACGCTGCCAGCAGGAGCCCTCTGGGAGGTGGGAGGATCTAGGCTGTGGGCTGAGAAGTCCTAAGGGAGGAACCCCAGGCACAGCCACGCTTGAGAGAGAAGGCTTGAACAGATCTTTATTATGCTGCTGTTAATTTCTTTGTTAATAAAGCCAAGCATCCAGGGAATGGGTGAGCTTTTGACTCTACACAGTAGGTGGGAAAAACACCTGGGTACAGTGGCTAAGTACATCCAATGGTATCTAAATTGGTATCACATATGCATTGGGGGGACCAAAAGAAAGTATTACACCAACTTAAACTCCTCTAGACTTAGACTTGCCTCTGAATTTGGCCCTTTGTGTTCCCTTTCTCCCATCCCCCAGTCACACTCCTCCAGGAAAGGTCCATTGTTTACATAAAGGAGCAGGAGTCCTTTGTTCTTTCCAAAGGTCAGCTGCTATATGGCCATCTGGAATCAGTGCTCCGATACACGTTCATGCAGCAATGTCATGGCTTGTCCTAGGGGACGCCTTGCGTTTTTAAGCTGGCGGGCCCAAAGCAGCATTACGGTTCATTCATACAGTGATTACATAGACTTTTAGAATCAGTCTTTGGGAAATGTAATACCATGTTATAAATCCTGCATCAACGTACAGCCATCTGTCATGCTAAATTGCTCTTGTTCCTTTGTTCAGCATAGCATTGTTTAGCCTAGCACACTCAAACTGGGTTATTTTCTAGCTAGAGATGGAGCTAAACTAGAGCCTTGAATCCAAACGTGTCTTTGACACTAGGGGTAAAGGAGAGCTTGAAATCCGAACCTGGCGATAGATGTAAGTTGCAAGTGGCTGCTCTCTTTACAACGAACCAAACCCCAAATGCAACCAAGCACCCCTAAACTTTGTGGTGTTTGCAAACTGGGTTCAAACTTTGTGGCTTGCACCCTTTTCTGTTTATACTGAGAAAAATGTGCTAACACATGGCCACCCTAGAGGAGGAGTCGGGAATCAGCAACGCAGCTGCTTTTCAAGCCGACTGTTCAGTTCTCACGCCGTGCATAAGGCTGATGCTTTGACAAAAGTCTTTCAGACCAGTTAGGTGTTAACAGCTCATTATGTGTCTTTTTTTCCTTTTCTGGGCAGATTCCGTCTGATGTGCAATAAAATCATCACTCACAAGATGTTTGATCATATCGTCTTGGTTATTATTTTCCTGAACTGCATTACCATTGCCATGGAACGGCCAAAAATTGAGCCCCACAGTGCTGTGAGTATCGGAGTTGTGCTACAGGTTAATGATTTCCTGAACTCGCTGCTGTCACATTCATTGTGGAGCCACCAAAGCCCAAGCCACACTGGACTGTATCTCTTTCTCTGCTCTTGACTTCATGCTACTGAGAAAGAGGAGGCCAGATCCTCAGCTGGCCTCCTTTGTCGCAGTAGTATGAGAAAGAGAATCCTCGTCTCTGCATAGCTATATTGAAGTCAGTCAAGTCTATGCTGATTTATACCAGCTGAGAAACTGGCCCTGAATTCCAGCTCAGGGATCAGATCTTTAGGGGCCATGCGGCTGCTTTGTGCAGCACTGACACAGTGCTTGGACCACAAACCCTGTCTAACTGGCCCAGAGAGGATCCGCCAGTGAGGGTTGAGCATGTGGTGGTACAGAGCCAACATGGGGGCTATTTACCATCCACCCTCCCTGCTGCTTGCAGTGTGTGGGACATGCATATGGCTAGATAAAAGGGAGCCCCACACGTAGGGACGTCCCCTGCACTACCCTGGTCCTGCAGTATGTTTTAGCTCTTTGGGATCTTTACAGGCCAGCGTAAGTAAGGGCAGCCCTCAGGCTCTGACACCGCACAAAGGAAACAGCCAGGCACAGAGCATCACCAGCATCAGGGCAGTGCATGGGAGGGCTTTAAGCCATCTCTGCATGCTGCTCGGGCCTTGTGCTCTGAACATCATGGCTGTGTCCAGGGATCTGGCCCCAGCTGTTTATAATTTGCCATTCATGGTTTATTTAAAAGAAAATCAATCCTGCCTATGTGGTATTAACTTCAGCAATAAACGTACCTTTACAGCACATGCTGAAGTGGATTTTCCATGATGCTGCCAACAGACAGGGATTCTTTCAGGCATTCAATCCTCTGCCCTCACCAAAGTTTCTTTCGTCTGATTCTGAAACATACAAGACCAGCACTCATGTGCTGGGAAAGACATCCAGGCTTCCACTTTTAATATCCCATCTCCCCGGGCACAATCAGACTGTTTTTATACATGATATAACCAGGACATCTGTCTCCATTTTCTTCTCTGATAAACATTCAAACACTTTTACTCTCTCAGCGCAATGTTAGCTCCTTCCATCTGTTCTGCATCGGCGTATGGGTGGTGGGAAGGGATGGGGAAAGCTGTTCATTTTGTACTTTTCTGGCCTCTTTGTCGATCATCTTTGTTGTGACATAAGCAAATTGAATGGATACAAGCACTGTAATTCCATTTCCCCGAACCATTTGTTTTAATAAATTGCATAATGATTTTTCAAACCAGACCCTCATAACATCAACTCCTATCAGTCAGATGGGCAGAATCATCCACTTGCTCTTTTATTTCTGTATCGATTGCAGCTGAGAGGTACACTAGGCTGTTTCTGACATATTGCAAAAGACTGTTCATATTACAACAATATAAATCCCTGTTCCCTCAGTGCATGAGTGCCTTGCTGTTTATTGCTTGTGGATCTTTAAGCTGAGATCTTAAAACTAAGGTTCTCTGTGCTCTTCCTGTACATTAAAGATCCCCCTAGCACTCCTCCTCAGAGAATAAGCATGCCCCAATCTCCTTAAGCCAAATTTCTTTCCTTCACTGTTGTGCAATAAGTGACTGTCCTCCACCCCAGAGATGGCTGCATTTCATTGCATGTATACAGTAGCAAAGTGCTTTGGAGTCTTTCTATATAAATGTAAACTCTCGTTATCATTTTGTCGTCTGTCAATATGTGAGTCCGGTGGGTTTTCTGAGGATAGAGCTGAGGAAAGGCGCTGGGTTGGTAGCCCTGGATAGTGAAGCCTCTGTATCCACAGAATATGTACAGCACGGATAGTAGCTGCAATGCAGACTTCCTCACAGTTCCCCAGCCCGGCCCGGGAGGGGCCCACCATTAGGGTGAGTGGTGATCAGTCGTCACAACCCATTCGGTACTTGACCTCTTCTGAGTCTTGCAAAGTTGCCAGTTAATGCCAGGGGTGGTGGTGGCTTTTGTGATCCATTGGGAACTGGACTTTAGCCACCAACCAGCCAGCAGATGGCAACAACTCTTAGTCACTTCCAGCCTGGGCTGGATCCAAAACAATGAACTTAGATGGGGAAGCATGACCTATTTGGGGCACAATGTTATGACAAAGGCTCTAGCACGCCACAGAAGGCTCACGGAGCTCAATCTATTTAGTTTAACAAAGAGAATGTTAAGGGGTGACTCGATCACAATTTATAAGTACCTAGATGGGGAACAAATATTTGATAATGGGCCCTTTAATCCAGGAGACAAAGGTATAAACACGATCCAATGGCTGGAAGTTGAAGCGAGACAAATTCAGCCTGGAAATGGTGTACCTTTTTACAGTGAGGGTAGTTAGCCATTAGAACAGTTTACCAATGGTCATGATGGATTCTCCTCCATCACTGGCAATCTTTAAATCAAGATTGGCTTTGTTTCTAAAAATTCTTCTGTAGGAATTTTTGGGGGGAAGTTCTATGGCTGGTGTCATACGGGAGGTCTGATAAGATGATCACAGTGGTCCTTCCTGGCCTTAGTCCATATGAAAGAGGCCTATAGCATGGAGCAGGGTTCCTGCAGATCAGGATTCTGTTTTCACCAGACACTGCTGTTTTTCCAAACACGCCTGCCAGTTAATGAACCAGGCTTGTCATTCAGGCTGGGAGTTTTCAAAGTTTTGTTTTACAAGGTTTGGATCCCCTTGAAACCATTAAAACAAAAACACCCTTTTAATGAGAGTCCATTGATGCTGCTCTCCGTTAACTCACTTTTTTTTAATGAATTGGACATGACGAATTTGGATGCTGCCTGAGCTTATTTTGAGCTCCCAGCCATTGTTTAACTTACAGATGCCTTTTTTCGACTTCTGTTCCCCATTAGACATTGTCAGGCAGGCTGCTCGGACAGCTGCTGCACATGTAAAAGGCTAGCTTGGGTGGGATGGACATGCTGCTCACTTGAGCTCGCTCTCTGAGTGCAGGAACAGATGAACCACTCTGGATGCCGGGCTGCCTCCCCAGCTAGTCCACTGGGGGAAGTTGTCCTGTCATTTCTCATCGATGACTCCTAGTGACATTAGAGGGTTTCATGCAGCTGATGGAGGCAGAGATTTTCCAAAGCTGGTGAAGGGATTTGGAGGCCCTGTTCCCATTGAAATGAGTGGGAACTGGGTGTCTGTATCCTCTAGGCAGCTTTGGAAATCCAGTTGTAGCTCTTGGTATTGTGGAGGCTCTTAGAAAGCTAGAGCAAAGGACTTCTTTGCTGTCCCAACTTTCTTCGGAGGTATTAAATGCTGCTGTCTGGACACACCTGCTGAATATTTCAGAAATAGGGCCAGATCCTCAGCTGGTGTAAATCAGTATAACTCCATTGAAGTGATAGCAGCTGAGAATCTGGCCCACACATTTCGGAACATTCCTTCACATTCTGAATGGCTCTTTGGTCCCATGTTGGGTCCCCTTAGAGCCCTGTCCAGAAACCCTTGCACAGAGAGGTATTTTATTTGCATGGATGTTCGGGGAAAGGCTGGTGTGTGGTGTTTTGTTGTTGTTGTTGTTGTGTTTTTTTATGATGACCTGGATCCACATGCAAATAAGGGCATTCGTTATCCACTCCGTGCTCTTTGTTGTTCTCCAGTTTAAAAGCCATCTGAACTGGGCCTCTGGGACATTGCACCAGTCAAGGTGCGGAATGGCCCTGGGTGAGAACAAGGGTGGGAGCAGCAAAGATGGGGAGGAAAGGTGGGGTCTCTAGTGCTGTTTGAAAAGGGAGAAGTGAGAGGATTGGGTGGGAGCCTGAATTGGAGGAGCCCAAGGTGTGGCACTTGAGGAGGACAGTGGTGCTGCCAGTGGTGAGGGAAGGTGAGGCACTCTGGTCTTGCCAGGACTTGGAGGAGATTTCTGAGATGCAGAAGTGGACAGAGGGGATAGCGCTCAGGGGCAGAGAGGCAGATGTGAGAACCATCAGCCTGGGGATGGTAACCATGGGAGCCAGTGAGGTCACCCAGGGATCAAGGTGAGCTGGGCAGAAGACAGAAAGCAGAAGGGGGGACCCAAGGGTGGCACTACAGGAGATGCGAGAGCGAGGCAGGGCACACAGCCCCGTTCTAGCTGACAGAGCTCTCGCCTGGAAACACAAATAGTTATTTTAGCTTCACTTGTTTCAAATAATTGTACTTTGCCTTCCAGAGCCATGGATTTTCTAACTGCCTAGAGCCAGTTCTCTCCCTGTCCCAATTAGAGCCGGCCAGTCAGAGCAGGGGAGGCAGTCTCTCCACAGCAGGCCTTCCTGTTCCGGAGAGTAGGGGATGCGGTGCGTGGAGACTGCACTTCCAAATCGCTGCACACTTGCCAAAGAGAAGTGTAATATTCTATTCTGACTCTTTTCTACCTGCTATTACCATTTCATCTGCACTGCCTAAAGCAGGTGCTTATCCGCTCCTGCAGATGCTTAGCCCCACCGCACACTTGCCGACCTTTTGTGCAGCACTCTCTTGAAGACCATGGATGTTTTCTATCATGACTCATGCAGTCACAGCAGGGGTCTTTAAGACTTGATTAATTACGGACACCAGGATGGAAACAAGCTACTTAGTGATTCCTGTGTCACTCTCAGTAAATCATGGCCTGGCAAATGAGAGTTTCCATGGTGTTTTCTCGTAGTTAAATTGCAGCTGGTTTTTAGAGAGCTGCATTTCTTAGAGAACGGCTCTTTAGGGAGCAGTGGAAATAAATCCAGCGTCCCCAGTAATGTTACCATAATGTTACAGGGAGATGTTTTAGTCCCTGTGCGAGAGTGCGCACATGCACACACACACACACACACACAGTGTTTCTGTCTTACTCCCCCTACCCCCCCAACTCTCCAACTCACGGTACAAGCAATCAGAGATTGTATAGAGATTAGGGGAAAGTGTAATTTATTTAATGATCATCATTAAAAAGAAAGGTTTCTGCTGGTTATAGATAGGGAATTAGTCCACGCTTTCATCTGTAATCACTAACTGCTTACACAGAAGGAAAGCATGGTTTAGTGGTTAGACCATGGGACCGGGTTAGAGCATAGGAAAACTGCTGGGTTCTGTTCCCAGCTCTGTCGTGGTCTTGGGCAAGTGACTTAAACTCCTTGGGGGCAGATTCTCAGCTGGTATAAATGGCTGTAATTTCATTGACTTCAATGAAAACATGGAGACATTCCAGAAGACTGGAAAAGGGCAAATATTTTGCCCATATATAAAAAGGGAAATAAGGAAAACCTGGGGAACTACAGACCAGTCAGCTTAACTTCGGTACCTGGGAAGATAATGGAGCAAATAATTAAGAAATCAATTTGCAAACACCTAGAAGATAACAAGGTGATAAGTAACAGTCAGCATGGCTTTATCAAGAACAAATCATGTCAAACCAACCTGATAGCTTTCTTTGACAGGGTAACAAGCCCTGTGGATAGGGGGGAAGTGGTAGATGTGGTATATCTTGACTTTAG